TGTCTGCTAGTGTCTAGAGTGCTGTACTTCTGTGTGACAGAGGACAATAGAATGAGCATATGAATTACAGAAGGCTTGAAGCACAGGAGCGGTAGGAATGGACGAGAATTGCCTGTGGAGGGCAGGGTGCAGGGTGGGATTTGGGCTAAATGTTTAAGGAAATTCAGCCAAGGCTGCTCTTTGAAAAAACAACAACAACAAACCCAACAGTACAACCCCATATTAGAACAACACAAACAATTTCAGGATATTTTCATTATTAAAAACATTAGCCAAAAAGCAGTTAATTTTCCTCAGTGGCTGCTAGAATATGAACTAACATAACGTGCTTGCTGTAACACGGACACTCTTCATCCCTCTCATCTTTAGGAAGAAACAAAAGCACGGAAAAGTCATTTACTCAAAGTCACAGAGCCAGTAAGTAGCTAAGCTGAGTTACCAACTCAGATAGTCCCCACACTCTTTCCTCTCCTGTGTGGTGTAACTGCCTTCTTTCTCTGTAAGGAGAAAACAGGAAGAGATTCCTTGTTAAGTAGGGCATCCTGCTTTGAACTGCATTGTAGCCAAGACTGAGGTAATCACGGGAAAGCTGATAGATGTTCACGCATCAGCTGTCCCGTTTTGGTGGACATTGCTTCACCCCTAGTATCCATTTTCTTGTTCCTTTATTACTAGAACTCATTTCTTTTAGTTGTGCTCAGAGCAAAGACATTTCCCAGCCTCCCTTCTAGCTAGGAGCGGCTAGACGACTGAAGTCAGGCCAATGGGACTGGATCCTAAGTGATGTATGCAAATTCTGGGGCAACTCTAACATAAAGACAAGCTGCTTGCCCTGGACCACAGCCTTTCCCCTTTACTGCCAGTTGCAAATGGGAAGTGCTGTAGCAGGGGGTTTGGGTTTAATGGAATCCACACATTCAGAACAAAGATTACAGGTCATGGATCAAAGCCATTTACTCATCCTAGAACAGGTGGATTATAATGTGGGAAGAAAACATAAAACTGCTATCAAATTTCATCCATGGTACTTAAGCAACTTAAACCAGCCAGCACATGTGGAATTTAGATTAGAGACTGATGCAAGTAAAATTCAACCCTGTTTGCCAGGGGCTTCTTGTTGGATATTTGTACTGCAGTAAGCAGCCTTGAGTGGAATGGAATAAATCAAAGCAGACACTTTGCATATTTTTACATATACAGGAAAGATTATTTTCAATGAGTCTTCTTTGTGTGTGTGTGTGTGTGTGTGTGTGTGTGTGCATGTGTTGAGAATACTTTAGGAATATACGATGCCTTAAAAATAGTTCTGAAGATCATACTTTCCAAAAAAATCTAGGCTGATATAATTCATACCTCAAACCATCTAGACCAAACATACAGTTAAATGTGACAGCAAATCAGATATTTATATGTGAATTTGACTTGATATTGAATCTCTGTCACCTAGCCCAGAGGATTTTCTCTGAAACATTCTTTTAAAAACGACATGGAAATTTAACAAATAGTCTATGGAGTAGAGTTTTGTCTTTTGAGAGGAATAGTAACCCAGAATCTAATCCCTGTTCTCCACGATGGGAAACCTCCACTGTGGGCAGTCCTAGTGGGAGGCAGTACTCAGTCTCCCACAGTAGGAGACAAGAGCCCTGGAGTCTTTCTGGGTGCTCCCTCACAGCCAGAGGACTCCAGCTGTATACATCACCTCAGGATCATGAGTCTCGGTCTAGTGATGCAAAGACAAAGGACCAATTTGAATTTATTTCAGGACTCCCCCAAAGTGGTCCAATCTACCCATCATATGCCAGCCCCCTACCCATTCTCTGTGCCTTCTCTAACTTCCAAATACTGATCAACAGCTGTTCTAGGACTTTAACCTCTTTTTGACTCCCTTGTCTTAACTAAAATCGGACACCTCTGAGGACCCCTCCCCTGCAAGCCGGCCCCTTTCAACTAGATGGTGTTTTCTCTTATACTCCGTGTGCCTCGGGACCAGAGGTTGGCTTCAGTGTTCTCCTCAGTCCCTCACAAGGTAGTCCAGTAAGAGTACAACCTCAACATTTTATAAAGCTTCCTCCAAGGTCACAAATGATTTCCTTCTTGCCAAACCTGTGGATATTTCTCGGTCTTCACTTTACTCAATCTCTCCAAGCACTCAAAGCACAATTGACCACGATAGCAAAAGAACAGGCAACAAAATTAAAAATAGGTAAGTTGATCTTTACCAAAATTGAACACTACTGTGCTTCCAAAGGCACCACTACTGAGAAGGTGGAAAGACATAGAATGAGAGAAAATATTTACAAATCATCTGGTAAGAGACTTAGAACAAATAAAGAACTCCTACAATTCAATAATAACAGACCAATAGCCCAATTAAAAACTTGTACAGGATTTCAATAGACAGTTCTCCAAAGAAAATATAAAAATTTTTCATGTAAGCACATGAAAAGATATCAACATCATTAGTTTTCAGAGAAATGCAGATCAAAACCACAATAGGATACCACTTGACAAGACCTAGGATAACCATAATCAAACGAGATGGATAATACCAAACACTGGGGAAGATGTGGGGAAAATGGAGCCCTAACTCATTGTTGCTAGTGCGAATATAAAATGGTGAAGCCAACTTGGAAACAGTCTGACAGCTAATCAAACAGTTAAATACTGTTACGTTATGACCCATCAGTTCCACTCTCCAGTATATATCCAAGGGCACTGAAAACATACATCCACACAAAAACTTACACATCAATGTTTACGGCAGCATTATTCAGAATATCCAAAAGACAAAGCAACCCAGATGTTCATCAGCTAATTAACAGAAACAAAACATGGTATATCTATGTGATCAAATACGATTTAGCAATAAACAGGAATAAAGTAATGATAATACTATAGCAAGATGAATGTTGAAAACATAAATGAAAGAATCCAGTTGCAAAGGACCACGTATAGAATTCCATTTATATGGAATATCAAGAATATGTAAATTCATAGAAATAAAATGTAGATCAGTAGTTGCCAGAGGCTGGGAGAAGAGAAAATAAGGAGTGACTGATAGTGGACATGGGGTTTCTATTTTGGGAGGATAAAACTAGTCTGGAATTAGTAGTAATGGATGTTCAAGCCTCTGAATTACATGCTTTAAAAGGACAAACTTTATGATATGTGAATTATATCTTGATAAAGCTATTATCCTTTTTAAAGCCATGGGTGACCACTCTTGAAGCACTCTGGCACCCAGAATATAACACTCTCCCTGTTTGCTCTCACTCTGGCTGCTCTTTCTCAGTCAGTCTCCTTTGCAGATCCCACATCCCCTGTCAGGCCTCTAGAATGAGTTTCCAAGTTCATCCTAAGCCTCCCTCCCTTTTTTTCCCCACTCTCCTTAAATAACCTCACTCCATTCCCATGGTTTTATGAAGCAGTTTTATACTAACCCCTACATTTCTTCTCTGAGTTAAATATTGCTCTATCAAATATACTACTTGTTCTCACTGGTTGAATATTTATTAAATATCTCAGGTTTAGCTTGTCCAAACCCTTAAGGCACACTATTTGTACAACCTACATGTATGTATATATACAAACTATTCTTGAAGCAAAACTATAGCTTAGGGGAATTTCTAGGAGTTAGAGTAGGTGATCACAGGGGAAGGAAAACAGAGGGATACTCTGTTGGAATAGACAAGATGTGGACAAATTCAAAGTCAATTTCTGCTCTTAAACTCCTGGACGGAATGCATGAGTGTTTGAATTGTATCTGATAGGACCATACGCATTGAGAGAAGAAATAACCCAGATAAGGTGTAGCCATTGGTATAGGTCTCCTGTAATAGAGTGCATGATAAAGCCACAATCTCTCTTACCCAAGGGAAGAGCCAGAGAAATGTGAAGTCTTAAGGCAAAAATTCAGCCTGGACCAAGTCCAGTATTTGTTTACAAGCAAGCCTTTGTGACATAACTGTTTGTTGTAACTCTGGTGTCTGGGAGCAGACTCTGGGAAAGAGACCTGGGTGCAGGGTTTTTATTGGGGGACACAGGAATAACACTGTGATGGGGAGGGGAGCAAGGCGACGGAGAAGGAGAAGGAGAAGTGGGATGCCCTGCCAAAGAGCCTCTGCTGACCCCACAGGGAGCTCTGGGTGAGCTCTTGTAATGAAAAGTGAGGCGATTCCTGGGCAGCAGGGAGAAGAGCACACCGGTGAGCCATCCCCCACCCCCACTCCACCCCGGCCCACCTCCCATCCCCGCTGCTGGAGAAATGAACACCTCAGTCCTGAAAAGGACTAGAGTCAGGCGTGGCAGCTCTCCCGCTCTATGTCCATTTGTGCCTCTGTCATGATGACATCATGTCACCGCAGCTGCCACCAGCCATCACAGCCAACTAAGCACTTCAAGCCTGAGAATTCTTTAATGTGAAGCTATTTATTAACTACACAAACGAGAAAGGGGCCTAATTGACTCCCTTTGGTTTGGAGGAAGAACGGCATTGTTTCCATCCCCACCAACCGGCTTTGGAAAATTGTTTTCTGGATGAGGCTATAAGTAGTTTGAGAGACACTCAATCACTAGTGATGCTGATGGATAGACTGGAAGTTCTGTGCTGGGTGGACTGAAGGGGGCTGCACTACACAGGATCAATACTTCATATCCGATGAGTGAGATGTTCCACCGAAGAAGAGAAATGACAACAGATGGTGAGGTCAGCTTGTTAGCTGTATTTATCTAATTAAAAGCTTCAGACATATTGTCAGGTAAAAATCAGCTGTCAAAACGTCCACCTGGTCATAATTGATCATCATTAATAAGTCTGTTCTAGCCCCTGCTGCCAAAATCTTACAATCACATAATCTCAATTAATTAAGAAAACAACTCAAATAACTGAGCTTGGCATTGCTTTCCCAAACTGGAATAAAATCATGACTGACAGCAAGGAGGGAAACAGACCATGTTTGTCACATGAATCTGTCTCCACTCTAGAGCCAAGTACCATTACAAATCAGGGAGCTACAGTCGGCATTCTCCCTCAGATCGAATCTGATTAGGGCATGGGCACGGTGGGTGCAGCAAAATATTGATAAAAACAAACGAGTATGGGATTCCTCTTTGGCCTTTGAAACCAAATTTAGTTTGGGGCATGCTCTTGACCTTTAGCTGAGACGTCTTCATCTAAAATATCAATTTACATATATCTGTTGAATGAAATTAGCCTTGACTTGCCAAAGTCAGTTCTCTTTTCCTTTACTTCACAGAGGTCAAGAAGACTGATAATCCCCTTTAATTTGAAAAGAATTGCAGGAGCCAATGGGCTGTATTTCATTAATTTTTTAAACTATCAAATAATTGGTGGAATTTAACGCTTTGCTATAGCTTCTCTACCCCCTTACATGACCCATATGTGCATTTCAAAGCACTGCACTAGTGCAATAGAGTAAAACCAGAACACATGTTATGTATTCATCCTGCCAATACTGTGAGCTATTTATTTTCGTATATAGCACATCCTTTAGTATTTTAAATACATCCTGTTATATTTTAAACATTCTATTAAAATGTGCAGTTTCTCAGGAGTATGCCAATAGAATTGTTCTTAAATGCTACTTAGGCAGTTGAGGCAAATGAGAGAGTCATTAATGCAACCTAGCACAAGAATGCACCTATTGATGGATCTGTATGTAGTCTATCAAAACATCTAGGTGTCAAGAAACTAAAAAGAAGTCAAGAGAAGAGAGACCCCAATAAGTCTAATATGGCTAGAAACATGATCCAGTTTCTGAGATAGGCAAAACTCCCTTTGAAGTCAGAAAGAGTTTTATGTACCTAAGAAGCAAAGGATTTAGTCCCCAAGGAGTATTATATGAAAGAATGTTAGCTTAAATTAGCTCCCAGTAAGTACAGAGGGGATATGCTTATAATTGGCTTTGTCATATAAAATCACACCAACTAAGAGCTTACAGCTCCATAGATTATATTTTCTTGTAAAGAGATTTTCTCAGCCTCTGGGCCTATTTTAACCCCATCGGGATATTTCTGATATTCCCAAGGAAAGTTTCACTAGAAGTGATGGATGATTTTAAGGAAAATATCAAAGTTTATCTAATACTTTCCAAAAAGGACTTCAAAGATATAACATATTCAACAATTCTTCCTGCTGCTTTTATTTTTCTTTTATTTATTTTTTATTTTTATTTTTAGAGAGAACAAGAGGGGGAGAAGGGCAGAGAGAGAGAGAGAGAGAGAGAGACAGAGAGAGAGAGAATCTTAAGCAGACTCCTGCTTAAGTGCAGAGTCTTATATGGGGCTCAATCCTACAACACCAGGATCGTGACCTGAGTGGAAATCAAGAGTCAGATGCTCAATTGCCTGCCACATAGGCGCCCCTGCTGCTTTTAAATTATTATTTTCATCTTTATGTGGGAGCAAATTTGAAATGGTCAAGTGGCCTAGTTCTGTCTTATTTGACCACAATCAATGTTATATCTTGGGAATTAAATACTGAACTCTTGGCCTTTCTATTTTCTTTGCAATTTTTAGTAGTGGGTGTTTCAAAGATAAATACAATAATTATAATAGATCTCTGACATTACTACATTTAGAAATCACTACCTTGACTTACTAATAGTGATCTTGGAAGTTTGTGATATTACAAATTCCAACTTTGCTAAGACACAAATTTGGATTCTGTGAGCTTTAAGTCCCAGGTTGTATGTGGACCTACAATTCACTCCCATGCAAAATTCCTATCTCAGGTCAACTTTTTTACTCTCTGTATTTGTAATTTATGTATATCTAATACCTGTTTATCAATTCCTCTTTTCCAACTACTGTGATAAAACTTTCTATCACTTGGTCATCTTCACAATGACTAGAAGTATCTTCTCTGTTGCTCCTTTTTTCTGAGATTTACCCTCTATCTGTAAAGACATAGCTCTCATTTCTACCACCTGTAACCAACCGATGACCGTCCAGAACAGGCATGGATGGACACTTGATCCAAACCAACCAATCAAGACTCTGCCAGCAATTATAAAAAATCTCTAAGCCTAAACGTAGACCTGTGGGATAGCACTACATGTAGAAAACCTGAGAAAGTTCACCTACAGAGAGAAGTATGAAGCTCATGGACTCAGAAGATAAAAAGAGCGTGTGGCCACCAAGACTGAGAGAGATGAGGACATAGGGAGAAACTGAGGGGCTGCCTGGTGGCTTTCCTGGGATGGAGTCCTTCAGACTTGACTATACTTCTTGCCTTTGGACATTATGGAATAGCTCTTTTGAAACTTAAGATACATTGCACATTTTTCTTATGCTGGTTTGAAGTGGATTTCTATGATTTGCACACACAAGAGCCTGATTCTCCAAGCAGGAGGTTACATGTCCCCAGCTGCAGAGGCCAGAAAGCCAGAGTGGAAGGGCACCATGTCAGTGCTCACACAGAGGTCTCTGAAGAAGGTTTAAAACATTTTCCCCAGGTTGTGATTCACAGATAATATTTATCACACAGCAGAGAATGAGTAGAGTGAGTTCTTGTTGATACTTCAGTGCCTAACAGAATAATTTGTTAATTTAATTGATAAGAATTGTCATCGAGTCAATGAATTTCAGAGCTGGGAGGAACTTTCCTATGACTTCCTCTAGCAGATGGTCACACAGCAGCCACCTGACTTGCCTCACCTCTCATGAGACATTGTATTATCTTGCTGAGGAGCTGTGGGACACTTTGGCAGAGACAAAGGCTTTCTTGATGCAACATTAGCCCTCTGGAGTCACACTCTTTGGCAAACAAGTCTCATCTTGCTCAAGGACAATGTTTCATGTATTTGAATACAGCTTAATCTTCTCTGTACCAGACTATACATTCTTCCAAACATTCTGGGGACCATACCTTCAGGATCCCTTACTATTCTGAGGTAACCAAAGCATTCTCCTCTGCAGTGTGCTCAGAACCTCAGCAAGGTTCCAGTGGGCTCTGTGAGGATCAGAGTATCATCTGCAGTTGAGCACATTTTAAAGGAGATACTATTATTTACAGTGATCTCCAAACATATATGCATCTTAGAGTACTTTAACCATTCTTTTCCTTTTTTATATATATATAGCGATTTTATTTAGTTAAGTGTTTATTTTTATTGTGGCAAAATACATGTAACAGGAGATCTACCTCCTTAGCAAATTTGTAAGTGTACAATACAATATATAAGCCCAATGCTGCACAGCAGACCTCTAGAACTTTTAATCTTGTAGGACTCCAATTCTATACCCATTGAACAGAAAATCCCGATTTCTTCCTCCCCTCATCCCCTTGTAACCATCATTCTACTTTCTGATTCTCTAAATATGACTATTTTAGAAAACTCATATAAGTGGAGTCATGTGGGATATACACACAATGGAATATTATTCCACTATAAAGAATAAGGAAATTCTGCCATATATTATAACATAGGTGATCCTGGAGGACATTACACTAAGTGAAATAAGCCAATTATAGGACATCCAGGGGCAGATTGTTTCACTGGTGAATTCTACCAAACATTTATAGAAGAATTAACTCTAATACTTCTCAAGCTCTTCCTAAAAAATCAAAGAAAGGGAACATTCCTGTGAGGCCTGCATTTCCTTGATACCAAAACCAGATAAGGACACTACAAGAAAAAAATATTACAGTCACTATATGATAAGTATAGCTGTAAAAATTCTCAACAGAAGACTAGCAAATAAAATTTAACAGCACATTCAAAGGACCATGCATGATGATCAACTTGGGATTCATCCCTGAAATACAAGGATGGTTTGACATACACAATTCTATAAATGTGATATATCATGTTAATATAATTAAAGATAAAAATCACACAGTCATCTCAATAGATACAGACAAATCAATTCACAATATTCAAATCTTATTATAAAAACTCTCAACAAACTGAAAATACAAGGAACAAATTTCAACATTATAAAGGATATATGTGAGAAGCCCATAGCTAACATCATACTTAGTGGTGAAAAGTGAAAAGCTTTTCCTCTAAGATAAGAATAAGACACAGATGCTCACTCCTACCACTTCTAGTCAACATAGTACTGGAAGTCCTAGCTAGACCAATCAAGCAAAAAAATAAAATAAAATAAAAGGCATCCAAATCAGAAAGGCAAAACTAAAATTGTCTGAACTTGCATATGACAATCTTAAACACAGAATATCCTAAAGATCACCAAAACAAAACCTGTTAGAACAAACAAATTCAGTAGAGTTACATGATACAAAATCAACATATGAAAATCAGTTGTGTTTTTATACATTAAAAAATTAAAAAAGAAAAAAGATAACAATCTCATTTATAATAGCATCAAAACCAATGAAGTACTTAGGAATAAATTTAATCAATAAGATGAAAGATCTGAGCACTGGAAACTATAAGACATAGATGAAAGAAAGAAAGAAAAAAATAACAGGTTAACGCCCATGTTCATAGACTACAAATCTATAGAACCTCAGCTCTTGATGAGGAAAGCATCACAGAGTTTATGGCCAAGTTTTAAAACTGCCACAATTAGTTCACTGGCCCAAAGTGTTTATATTCTATCCACATAAAATATATAGATATACTCACTCTGTTAAAAAAGCACAGAAATCACATCCTTCTATAAATCAAGTTCAGGTTCAAGTACCAGATTCTTGTTAACTAAATCAGGTCCAGATGTGGATCAGATCCCTGTGGTATGGTTGCTCAGATATGGTTTCTCTTGTTTGAAAGACCATTGAACTAAAGAGACAAGTTATCTACCCCCACATGTCAATATTCAGGGCCAGGACAGGCATAGAATTACTGTAGTAGATATCCCAGATCAAAAAGGGGATAACCAGAAGGCACATGACAGGCAGTTAATGGGCCTTAGCAATTCTTAAAGGAGTCAGTCCCATGTTGCAAGTTCTTGATCAGGGACCTCCTGGAAATGGCTCACCAAGACTCTAGACTCCACACTCTGGGTTTTTGGGTTTACCCTGTGTGTCATCCTTTATTTCCTAAATAAATAGCTCATTTCTGCATCTGATAAGTATTCTCAGTCTGCTTCTTGCCCATAGAAGTTCAGGGGTCCAAAGACCTCATTTCATTTATACTATTTCTCTCCCTTTTCATTCCAAGCTGATATAAGGTCTTTAAATATTATGTTTCTCGTTGGTCCATTGATAATATATTTCACGGACATACATAGAAATCTCTCCTGGGTGCCTGACTGTCTCAGTTGGTAGTGTGTGCAACTTTTGATCTCTGGGTCATGAGTTTGGGCCCCATGCTGGGTGTAGAGATTACTAAAAACAAACTTAAGAAGTGTAATTGATAATTACAGAAAGCAAGAAAGAAATCAAGAAAAAGAAGGAAGATTCTCCTGGGCAGTCTTTATCTTGGGCCTCTTCTTCTTTTTTTCTTTTTTCTTTTTTTTAATATTTAGTTATTTTTGAGACAGAGAGAGAAAGAGCATGAGTGGGGAAGGGGCAGAGAGAGAGAGAGAGAGGGAGAGAGAGAGAGAGAGACAGAATCTGAAGCAGGCTCCAGGCTCTGAGCTGTCAACACAGAGCTCAACGTGGGGCTTGAACTTGTCAACAGCAAGATCATGACCTGAGCTGAAGTCGGAGGCTCAACAGACTAAGCCACCCAGGCACCCCTATTTTGGGATCTTCTGAGGCTATAAAGAAACAATGACTGGGGCGCCTGGGTGGCTTGCTAAGTCGGTTTGCTTAGGTCATGATCTCGCGGTTCGTGGGTTCGAGCCCCGCGTCGGGCTCTGTGCTGACTGCCAGCTCAGACCCTGGAGCCTGTTTCAGAGTCTGTATCTCTCTCTCTGACCCTTCCCTGCTCATGCAGTCTCTCTCTCTCTCTCTCTCTCTCCTAGAAAAAAAGAAAAAGAAAAAAAAGAAACAATGACCTTAGGGTACCTGGGTGGCTCAGTCGGTTAAGCGGCTGACTTTGGCTCAGGTAATGCTATCACAGTTCATGGGTTTGAGCCCCGCATAGGGCTCTGTGCTGACAGCCAGCTCAGACCCTGGAGCCTGTTTCAGAGTCTGTATCTCTCTCTCTCTCTCTCTCTCTCTCTCTCTCTGACCCTTCCCTGCTCATGCAGTCTCTCTCTCTCTCAGAAATAAACGTTTAAAAAAATGTAAGAAACAATGACTTTGAGGTTCTCAGATTTGTCTGTTACATCAAGTTATGTTCATCTCTCTCTCTCAAAAAGTCTCTGCTTAATGGAAAGTGTCTGCCAGCCACACACTTAAGAGCCCTAGAAGATTTTGTTTGTTTGAAAAGGATCTGTGAGGCCTAAATACAGGTTTAAAAGTTTGCCCTGAACTTCATCTTTTCCCCAATACCACATTTTCCTGACACCAGCTAGAATTTGATCCTTTTCCTGAGGTTTTCTCTTCGTTTGAGAACCCCTTACTAGTGGGGAAAACTCATTTGTGCCTTTTTCATTTCTTCCAAATTCTTTACTGCAATGCTCTTCTCTCACATTTCATTATAGGTGGAAATGAAGCCAGGAGAGACCTTAGGTATTCTGCGCAGAAACCCCTTCAGCTAGATCACAGAGTTCATTAAGTGTATTTCCTATTTTCCACTTTATCACAGGTAATAGTTTTACCAAACTTTCCACTCACTAAGATGGTCTCTTCCTCCAACTTCCTGTAAAGTATCTCAATTTCCCTCAATATTTTACCTCGTGTTCCTCAGAGTCCATGAGGCTTCCATTGGCTGCCTGGCCCCCAAATGCCAGGCTTTAGGTTTTAGTTGTTTTTTTTTTTCAAAGTTTATTTATTTTGAGAGAGAGAGAGAGAGAGAGAGAAAAAGAGTGAGAGAGCGTGCACACACAAGCAGGGGAGGGTCAGAGAGAGGGAGAGAGAGGATCTCAAATAGGCCCTGCATTGCCAGCACAGAGCCTGATGTGGGGCCAGAACTCACAAACTTAAAGATCATGACCTGAGCTGAAACCAGGAGTTAGACGCCTAACTGACTGAGCCACCCAGGTGCCCCACGCTTTAGGTTTTACTATGATCAATCCCTTTTTTAGGTACCAAGTTATACTCCACTTATCTATTACTGAATAACCACTACAAAACCCAGAGGCATTAAAACAGCCACAATTTTATTGTGCTCATGGATTCTCTTGGTGAGGAAGTCAGACAGGGCATGGGGAGGATGGACTGTCTGTTCCATGATGTCTGGGACCTCAACTGACAAGGCTTGAATACCTGGAGATAACCTTAAGGGTCGTGGACCAGAATCATCTGGAGGCTTCTTCACTCCTGTCTGACACC